CACCCCAGCAGCCACCCAGCCCGGTGCGCGGCCCTCGCCCCCTCGGCTCCCTTGGTGGGCTGTCCTGGGAGGGTCTGTGGTCCCGGGCCAGGGGACGCTCCGCAACTCCTTCCTTGTGCACTGTCCTGGAGAAGAGAGTCTGGGACGAGGACGCGGCGCTGGTGCTGAGCGAGCGTGGCGCGGGGGGCGCGGTCCTGATTAACACCGAGTGAAACCGCAGAGAATCGGGGGGCAGGGGGTGCGGCCTGGACGCCCCTAACCCGACACCTGGAACTCTGAGCATCGCGCAGCCTCAGAAGAGTTGGATTTCGGGTTAAGGCTGCTTGGCCAGTAAAATCTCCCAGCATCCGCGGGACCCCAGCCCCGGGGTAATACGCGGCCGTCCCGGGAGCGCCAGGGCAGTGCCCCGCCAGGAAGCCCGGGAACAGATTCCACAGGGAGACGGCCCCCTGCCAGATAGGCCCAGGTGTTTATTTAACCAGCGCCCATAGCAGCCGCTCCAAGGAGCCGCACGTGCTCTCCCCCTTCCTGGAAGTCACTCGGAAGCAGAGGCCCTGGCCCGGTTGGCTCTGGCTCTGGGTGGGCATTGAGGGCCCCCTGCCCTGCAGCGCCTCCTGCTGGCGGCGCTCTAACTGCCTCTCGCCCGGATGCAGACGACAGCAAGCCAGCCATCCAGATGCCCGGCTCCTCGGACTACGACTCCGCGGGCGGCGTCCAGGACCCTGCAGCCGCCGGCCCCCGGGGCCCTGGGCCCCACGACCAGATCCCACCCAACAAGCCGCCGTGGTTTGACCAGCCCCACCCTGTCGCTCCCTGGGGCCAACAGCAGGTATTGCTTGGAACTCGGGCTGGGGGCGGGGGACAGCCTTGGCCTGCGGGGCTGGCAGCCACCCGAGCCGCGGCCCATTCCCGGCGCTCCCCCTGAGCCCCTGGGTGAGGGCTCTGCTTCCCCAGCAAGGGCGCTGCCCCGGGTCCTGAGGTCCCCACCCCGGCACAGTGCGCCAGGCCGTGTGGCACGCTGGGTCCGGTCAGAGACTGGCACTGGGCATGGCCCCCGGGGTGCGACTGCGAGCAGTAGAGACAGGTGTGTGCTGGCCATTCCGCAGCCGTGGGCACAGGGGTGCGGGGTCCAGGCGCACCTGCCCTTGTGCCCTCTGCCAGGGCGGTGAGGGGGCCCGCGTGGGGGCACGGAGGGCCCGGCAGCCAGCTCGCTCACGGCGCCGCCTTGCCTTGCAGCCTCCGGAGCAGCCCCCCTACCCGCACCACCAGGGCGGGCCGCCCCACTGCCCCCCCTGGGGCAACAGCCACGAGGGCATGTGGGGCGAGCAGCGCGGGGACCCCGGCTGGAACGGCCAGCGCGACGCGCCCTGGAGCAACCAGCCCGACCCCAACTGGAACAGCCAGTTCGAGGGCCCCTGGAACAGCCAGCACGAGCAGCCGCCCTGGGCCGGCGGGCAGCGCGAGCCGCCCTTCCGCGTGCAGCGGCCGCCGCCCTTCCGCGGGCCCTTCCCGCCGCACCAGCAGCACCCGCAGTTCAACCAGCCGCCGCACCCGCACAACTTCAACCGCTTCCCGCCGCGCTTCATGCAGGACGACTTCCCGCCGCGCCACCCCTTCGAGCGGCCACCCTACCCGCACCGCTTCGACTACCCGCAGGGGGACTTCCCCGCCGGTGAGGGCTGCATCCCTCCCTGGCCGTGCCCCCCCCCCCGGGAGCAGCACCCCACAGCGCGGGGTGGGTCACGGGGCAGCGGCTTCCCTCCCAGCCTCCCCTGGGCCCACCCTGCGGGGTCAGGCCCGCAGCCCTGACACGAGTCTGGGTCTTGCAGACATGGGCCCCCCGCACCACCACCCCGGCCACCGCATGCCGCACCCCGCCATCAACGAGCACCCGCCCTGGGCGGGGCCCCAGCACCCCGACTTCGGCCCGCCCCCCCATGGCTTCAATGGGCAGCCCCCCCACATGCGGCGGCAGGGCCCCCCGCACATCAACCACGACGACCCCAGCCTGGTCCCCAACGTGCCCTACTTCGACCTCCCCGCTGGCCTCATGGCGCCGCTCGTGAAGGTGAGGGCGCTGGGCCTCGGGGAGCCCCTGGGGCCGGGCCGGGCCGGGGAGGTGGGGCTGCGGCCGGGCGGAGGGGTCTGGGCGCCAGCGAGGGCTGTGCTCCCCCCCAGCTGGAGGACCACGAGTACAAGCCCCTGGACCCCAAGGACATCCGCCTGCCGCCCCCCATGCCGCCCAGCGAGAGGCTGCTGGCGGCCGTGGAGGCTTTCTACAGCCCGCCCTCACACGACAGGCCCAGGAACAGGTACCGCTGGGGGCCGTGCGCCTGCACCCCCGTCAGGCGGGACCCCAGGACCCTCCCGAGGGTGACGCTGCGGTGTGGGGAGGCCGTGGGAGCACTCGCTGTAGTGCGGGGCCGCAGCTCACGCGCG